AGAAAGCTTCTGTCCAAGACAGGGACAGAAGGGGACCCCGTTGCCCAGTGAATCTGCCTTCTTTAGGCATTTTCATAGAGCAAAACCATGAGGTGAGGTGTGCCGAATGTGCAAAACATGGGAACTCAAAGATGGGTCATAGGGTGGGACAAAACTAAGGTCGCCCAGTAAAATTACAGGCACAACTGCTAAGGTAAAAGTGATTAAATCGGGGCCGGCCAAATAGTGAGGTAGATTAAAGAGCCTGCTTAGGCAGACACAGCAGCCAGGGTCCGATCCCCAGCTTGCCATGCACACTATCCCACCCCCACCTCCAATTCCCCTACCCCTTCATCCCCCCACCCCCACTCTCCCCACCCCTGCAAGCTGAGACAGCAATTGAGACTGGGTGTGGTGGTGCACGCCTGTAATGCCAGAATTTGGGAGACTGTAAACAGGTGGATCACTACAAGTCCGATCTACACAGTGAGACTCTGTGATCCTGTAGACCCTTACTAAACTACAAAAAAAAAAAAAAAAAAAGATTAAATCAGGGATCAAATGAGGGAGTCAAGCAAACAGGCATGAATATAGAATAAAGGCATTCCCAGTAGGAGGTTGGGTCAGTGACTCTCCCTGGTTTCCTCAAGGTGATAGAGACCTATTTAGAGTATCAGTCCAGATGCTTAACTTTAGGGACGTAGGCATTTGTCTTTGAGGTCTGGCCCTCAGCAGCGTCTGTCTCTCCCACAGTTACAAGGCATCTTGTTCTCTGTACTGGTGTCTTCTGAGGGCCTGGCCCTGTCTGACTACATATAATATTTCTGTCTAATTCAGCTGCCTACATACAACGGTAGAATTGGTTTGTGTGCATCTCTTTTTGTTTTGATGACGTTTTGGCCACTGGGATCCCCTGGGAGCCATCACACCTATGAACAAACCTGTTCAGGGACAGAACTTGAACCTGGGAGAGAGCGAGGATTGATGGTCACATTGTGAGCCGACCCAACCACTGACTTGAATTCCAAGAGATGAATGATAGTTTCTTTCATGGTGAATTATCTCATATGCTTTGTGTTTTATTTAAATGCACACTTTTCTACCAATATTTTTAAGCAACATTAAATACTCAGATTTTTAGTTGAACAAAGTAATTGTAGTATAGATCATCAGTTTTTCTGGTGTTCTGAGTGGATTTTTTGGTATGATAAGATTTATAGCACTAACCCTTTTCTGGAAGGCTTTTAATGCATAAAAGTATAAATATTCTCCTTTGGTGTTGGTATTGTAGTAGAACTCAATACTGTTTGTTTTTTTTAATTTTCAGAAAACTTATAGCATACATTGGAAATGTTTTTCAACCACATATGTGTGTTTGGTTTTATTTAAGCATGAAAAGCATGAATGATTTTCAAATAAAATAACGGCTTTGCCTGTGTGTCTCGTACATTATCCCTTCCGGAAAGTGTAATAATTAGAGGGCCATGTCTATCCCTCGGGAGTAAGTGAGGCTCTTTTTGTTTCTTTTCTTTCATGTGCCTCTATGTATTGCTTAACTAGTGTGACAAATATAACTTAAAATAAAAGATGTGCTCTTCCTAATGCTAAGAGCGCTGCTACTGCCAGATGTAAGAGACTGTCGCAGAGCCCCCACCGTCCTCCTGGCCAGGTGGAGTGGTGTTCAAGGAAGTTGTAGCGAAGAGAATAATGAGACAGTTCATGCTTTACCACAACAGAATTTTACTTTGATTTACTAGAAAGACACATTACCAAGCAGCCCATTGATTACAACTCACAAACCTAGTAGTTGTCAACCTTCAAATTCTTTTTCATTACACAGAGCTAATCAGTATTTGAAACACAATGTAGATTAAAGGAAAAGCATACTCTACCAAACTAACACTTGCTTAGATTTAAACAACAGCTAGAAAATGACAAAAATCATAGCACAATCATGAGAAGAGATTACATATCTACATAACACCACATATTTGGAGCTACTTCGATAGCTTTACAACCTATGAATTTGACTAAGCTGTCGCACATCATGACTATCAGAAGATACTGCATACAACAGGGCTAAAAGTACAAAATTTGCTTATTCTTAATTGGATTTTATTATCTGTTTCTTTAAAGTTATTGGTAATCCAAATTTATGTTTGCAACATTTAGGTTAAAAAAAAAACACATGATGTTAGTGTGCCCCCATGTGGCTACAGACAAATTTGTAAAAATCAGAAAAAGTATTTATGGAGCAAGGACTCTGCATGTTAGTGTGGTTTACTCCATCCAGAATAGACAACTGTCTCTTATTTTTTAATGTAAGTTACATAACTAGCAATTTCTTCCATAATGCTTACAAATATTCTACGGTCAACAGTCATATATTTCAGCCTGTATGTCTACTTCTGATTCTAAAGTACTGAAGACATACAAGTCAAAGCAAAGGATTTATTTTTGCCCATGTTGGAAGTGTTTGGCTGAGTCAAACATGAGTGATTCTCTGGATGTATCCTAAAATGCAATTGTAGGTCTGCAGGAGGAGGGATCAGGCAAAAGCACCTGTAGTAAAACAGCTCCGTAGTGTAGAAAACGTGTTTGACCATGTCTGTGATGTGTGTGAAGACTTACTATTACAGATTTTGTTAATCCATAGTGCATTGGACATTTATGATGAAAATTAGAGATTCCACGTGACTTGAAATTCGTCTCTCATATTGCTTATTACCGTGACAGCTGTCACAATGTTTTGATGCGAAGGCACTGTTGCAGTTAGTGATTCTCTTTGCTTCTCTGTCTGATGACTAGGTCCAAGGTACAAAGTCTCATCTACTGATCAATACATGCTTCCACCAACCTCTGCAAGGACTGATTGTTAATGGCTCCACTGGGTCAAAGTCTATATGGTCTCAGGTCCCTGAGATAGTGGTATGACAGAATTGGGGACACCTGAGCTGGAGATGAGCCCGTTGTGTGAGAAGCTTATCAGAGCACATAAGGCATGAAGATCTAAGGAAAACTGACCAGGGCGTGCTCTGAGTCCCAAGGAGAAATCTCTAATGGCGCAAAGAGAAACTATTCTATGTTTGTGTGGCATTTATTGCAATTTGTTTGAGTTTGTGATTGAGCAACTGAGAAATAAATTTTCTATTTAAGATGCATTTTTATCTACCTTTGTTTGATCACCTGTCCATCTGTCCATCTGTCTATTTGACCATCTGTCTGTCTGTTTGTCTGTGATTATAGAGGTCAAACCCAGAATTTGGTGTCTGCTAGGAAAGTACTAGACCACTGAACTAGACTATCAACTGCTTTGGGATTCTTTAAAGCCAAGGCACCCGCTGTACAATCAGAAAACTGAATTTTTCAATTAAAGAGAACATTTGAATTTTAGCCCGCTTTAACGCTGCAGTTCACAGGGCGAGCTTCTTCAGGTGAGAGCAAATTGTCTTGTATTTTCCTTTTGTTACTGCCTTTAGTAAGATCAAAATGCTGCTCATCTGTGCCAAGTTGTCACCATAAAAGTTAAAAAAGTAAAACGGAAAAAAATGAAGTTTTATAAAGATTTCCATCTAAAATAAATACCATGCATCTTTACTGATTTTTCTGCTAAGTTTTCTCTCTTAACTAAAATTCATTGTTTAGCTAGGCAATATTTTTGATTTATGATGAAAAGATGTTTTATATAGAATCTTAAGACTGGAACAAAGCTTAGAAACATCTTACCTGTTCAGAATGGAATGTGTTACACAGGGAGTAATTGTGCTTAGGAGAGGACTACCAGCAGTCACGGAGCAGTAGACGGGCTAAGCGCCTCTTGGGCTCCCTGCGTCTCACTTAGCTTGTAAAAGCTGATCAGATTTCTCTTACAAGGCATTGCATATAGTATGCAGTGCTCTAGGTGTCTAGCTCACGCCTTACCTCTACCAGGTAGAATGAAAGATGATATTGAACCACCCCTATGGGTGTATTTTGGAAAGAGTTGACCTTGTAAAAAAAATAGAAAAAAAATACTACTATTACTACTACTACGACTAGTACTATTCCACACACACACACACACACACACACACACACACACACACCATCTCTTGCTCCTGTAAGTAGCATGAATTAGTATCAGGTGAGCTTTGCAAAAGTAGGTCTGACTACTAGAAGAAAATATATTCAGAAGTACCATTAAGTATAACTACAGAAGCTGAAGTTATTCTCTAAAAACCTCCTATTTGCTTATTCCTACTTACTCATGCTTTACACCACTGTGGAACAGAGAGTGGGAAGCACTTTCTCCACTGAAGGTGTCTAGAGGGTCTCTGGGCCCCACACTGTGCGCCGAGCCCTTCCATGTCTCCTGTCTTCTCCCAGCACAGTGGGAAGAGGTGCAGTGCTGACTCTTCACCACCACAGGAATTGTCAGGGCAGGATTTAGCAGACCGAGCCACCCCGACTGATTCTGGCCATGCAGCTGCCCTGCAGCAGGGGTGTGCGCGATGCACATTCCCTTTGCAGCTGCTAAGCTGACCAGGAAGGTGCTCAGACTACGCGAAAAGGCTGCACAGTGCAGGCCTGACTGTGGGGTCAGTAAAACTGAATGAGTGAGATCTGACTCATGAAAATGACATGGAGTACTCTGCGCTGTCCCTGATCCAAGATGAAAATGTCCCACTCACAGGGGTTTCCTTCTAAGCAAATTCAGCATCACGGATGCCTACTGTTACAGTTACCAAAGCACATGAGTCTCGATGAGATCGGGCGCTCTGGGGGTGCTGTGGCTGCACACGAGGCATGTGCTCAGAAGTGATGACATCAGAGACCCCGTGAGTCCACGACAGAGAAACAGAAGCTCACCTGGCTTTGAGTGACAATAATGTCCACACTATTGTTTTTTGGAGGAGGGGCTTTTTTGGAGTGCAAGTTATTCCTCTAGATAAACTAGTGACTATTCAAACTAATCCCACAGCACCCTTTGATTTCTATCTTGGGAAGATTCTGTGAGCAAAAGTGGAAGAGGAGAGGGAGGCTTAGAAAAGCCCGCAGTCTTTCAGGTTCTCTTTGATGATGATATCCGTCACTGCATCAAACACAAACTTGACGTTCTGGGTGTCTGTCGCGCAGGTCATGTGGCAATAAATCTCCTTGTCTTCCTTCTTCAGATTCAGGTCTAGGAACTGGTTCTTGATGTAGTTGCTGGCATCCTCGAAGGTATTCGGGCCTAGTTAGCAAAGTTTCAAGGGAGGAAGCGTTAATGGCACGCCGCAAACCAGGGAGCTGTAAGCATCCTCAGCCAGTGCAGTGATGTTACTTTGCACAGTGCTACTGAATGCAGTGCCTGTCACAGAACCCAACAGCAAAGGTCCTTCTTCAGGGACTCGAGCGGCGACTTGGGGCTGGAGCCACACCCACCCACTGGAGCCACGCCCATCCACGGAGCCACGCCCATTCACCGGGGCTTGGGGGCTGAAACTGCCGTCCGCATCAGACCAAGACACAGGCGTGCAGCCGATTCACGCAGCAAATGGCGAAAACAAATCCACATGCATATGAGGTCCTGCTTGTTCATGTTGATATAGGGAAGAAAATGAAACTCAAGGCCTGAAAGGTGCCTGGGATGAGTTTGTGTTTTCTAAAAACGAAGAATGAATTGTAGGAACGTAATTCCTACATTTTTAAGAGTAGAATATATTTATTGGGGGAAAGAAAGTTCCTATCCAAGAGGGATAGAAAGGGGGGCCCTGAGAGGGCGATCCCTGGTAAGCTGTCTCTTTCAGGGACCTTTATAGAGTGAAACCATGCAGTGAGGCAGTCTAAGGTGGTGGAGAAGACATGGGAACTTGCTTAGGTGGGCTTGCGGTGGGACCAAACTATGGTCAGCCAATGAGATTACAAGCACCATTGCTCAGGTAAAATTGATTAAATCCAGGACCAAATGAGGAAGCAAGTCATGTAGCAAGTGGACATGAATAGGGACAGGGCCTTTTCCTATTGGGGTTGGATCAGTGACTCATTTGGGCTCTTTCAAGGTGATTGATGCCTATTTAGAATATCAATCCCTGATGCCCATCCTTAGGGAAGCATGTGGCTACATTTGTTTCCTCTTTTGTCTTGAGGCGTGGCCCACAGAGGGGAGGGTCTGTCTCTTCCAAGTCGCATAGTCACCTTGTCTTCCATCTTGTCTCCTTGAGGGCCTGGCCCTGTCTGACTGCCTAGAGTATTTCTGTCTAACTCAGCTGCCTACAACAGTGTCATTGTGAGTGTGCCTGTGTATAATACAAACAGAAGGAGAGAGAACAGGAACACTAGATGAAAGAGAGCTAACAGGGGCAGAGTGTGAGCTGTACCTGGAGATACAGTTTAGGAGAAGGAGGGCACAACATGTGAATGAGAGACAAGAAGAGCAAGGGGAATGGCCTGCCTCACTAGGCTGGGAGGCACTGCTGCTCTGGTGGACACAAATGGCTACTGCAGATGAACTGCAGGAATCAGACAGAAGAGAAGAAACCGGGCAGATTACAGGCTATGATTCGGAGTACACAGCATCGCTGAGAGGGGTAGGCAGGGAAATTCCTGACTGAGGATTTGGTGGAGCCCCGACGTGATGAGCGAGGTGCTTGAGAAGCTAAGCGGCAGAACGCACAGTGGTCCAGTGGAGCGAAAGATGAACATAAAGTAGGTCAGGTCACGAACAGAGAGCTAAAGCGACCCAAGGACTGGCGCTGCAGGAGAATCTGCTTCCCAAGAACTTGACGTAGAAACAAGAGCACAGGTAGGACTGACAGAAGATGCGGTCCCTGGTTGGGAACATGCCGAGCACCGACACAGCTTCCTTTCCAGCCCCAGCCCTGAAGAAACATTAAGTCGTAAAGGAAAAACGTCACATGGCTGAAGTCCAGCAATCCCTGGGCATGGAACCAAAGGAATGCTCAAGTACTGCTCTTGGGGTTGCAACATAGACCTGTCACTTGAGAGGCAGCTTTGCAGCCTCCTTCACAGTGACACGGTCCTGCTGTGTCATCCGGAGATTGTGCCTTGGGCAGTCACCTGGATACCTACACCCACTGCGAAGCCTGCACAAAGATGCTTGCAGCAGCTTTTAAGAATCATTGACAAAAAAACCAGAAGCAACCAAGATACCAAGCACCTCTTAATAGGTGAAAAGATAAATTCTAGTTTGTTTGTGGCATGACTCAGGAATGAAAAGAAATGAGCTCCCAATTCACCAGAAAAGAAAAACACCCTAGGAAACTTAAGCAGAAGAGCAGAAAAGCCGTTGAGGAAAGGCTCCATGCTGCACTGGGGTGGCAGCTGTGTGGTGCAGTGTGCAGAAGCCACAGCTGCACAAAGAGTGGGGTGAGAGAAGGAGGAGAAGGCACACATTTGCAGGGCCGGCCCAGGGTGCCAGCTGGCCTGTCACACCCTCACACGGCTCTCACTTGGGTCTGAAACATCTCCTGAAAGCCTGTGTGTTAAAGATTCTGCCCCAGCTTGGTGTCCTAGGGAGGAAAATCTAAGAGGCCTTTGGGGGCATCAAGGGCATCCCCCAGAGGGGACCAAGGGGCCTTGGCTCCTCCTGCTTTCTCCTTTCCTTCTGCTGCCATGAGGTGAATGGGCCTCTCCCACCCTGCACCGTTAGCCCAATGGGATCCTTGCCAACAGCCCAAAGGCACGAGCCCAATGGCCACGACCGAAATTCCCAAAACTGTGAGCAAAAGACCTATTCTCTTCATAAGCTGCTGTATCTCAAGCATCTGCTGTAGTAGCAGAATGCTGACCAACCTAGCTGGATGAATGATACGGACTTGGGAAAGCACATGGAAACGTTCAACACCGAACGCAAACCTTCACTAACTTCGCGGCATCCGTGATACCCGCTAGTGGAAGGGGCGAGTGACAGAGGAAGCTGTGGGAAGGGGCAGGAGCAGGCTACTCTGGGAACGCTTTGTCATTTGTGTTCCAAAGTTCTTTTTTTTTTTTTTCAAACTCAAGGTTTCTCTAGGAAATGATGTTTAAAGAGATGTAGATATGCTTATATCTGTTGCTTACAGCTGTATTTAGTTTAATATTAAACTTGGAATCATGCTTGTATCAAATAACATGATAAATGTGTAAACATGTAAATATATTCATGATAATATAATGATGACAGAAGCACTAGTTGTAGATTAACCAGCATAAGAATCTGTTGTGATAACACAGCATGATCCTTGTCCATCTGGGCTCCCCCATACACCGAAGAGGAGAGGCTGGCTGCACCATTTTGTTTAAATCATACATCTCTTCAGCTTCCGTACTTTGATTAGCAACAGAGCATCCAACTATGTATGAACAAACCTTTGTCACTGGAAGCAAAACCATTTCTCACGGACTAACAGTACTGAAGTGAAATTCTGGGACCAGGGTCAGCCAGAGAGCTCAGGGACTGAAGCACTGCTTAGGCAGACGCTGGGACCGGGGTTCAACACTTGGCCTGCCGTGCTGGCCCCACCCCAGGGCATGCTGAGATGGGGAGTGAGAATGGGCGTGGTAGCGCACGCCTGTAATCCCAGTGCTTAGGAAGCTGAAGCCAGGAGAATCACTAGGAGTCTGATCTACATAGTGAGACCCAGTAGACCCTGTATACCCTGTACGAAAAACACATGAAGAAATAAATAATGAAATAAAATAAAATTCTGGGACCTAAGGAAATGTGACAAAGAGGAGACTACAGCATTACTCTTGAACTTATTGGTGCTGTCCTTACACAACAATTCAGATCCTGAAAAGGCACTGGGGTCTAATCTAGCATTGTAAGTTTTCATTAGGATGTACATTAAAAAATCTCCATCTGGAATGAGAGTTGCATTCCCATTACCAAGTCATATAATAAGTAGCTAAGTTGCTTGAGGCCTTATTTAGGGGAGCAGCTGTCTATCTATGTGAGCTTTTTCATCTGTCCAGTGGGGATTTGCAATCCTATGCACAGTACAGGGGAGATTCCTCCTTATTTGTAGGAACCTCCTCAGGGTGGGCCATGAGTCTATTTCCACTATGATCACGTGACTCATCCTCATAGATATGCAAGGTCAGACGCAGCTAGGAAGCTGCATATCCTGACAACCATTTATTATTACAGAATCAAAAGCATCTCACCTGTGTATTCTGGAAAGCAGATGCTGAGGTGCACCTTGTTTACTTTTTCTTGAAAGAGATCTTTCTTATTGAGAAAGAGGACAATGGAGGTGGAAGCGAAGTACTTGTGGTTACAGATGCTGTTGAACAGGTGAAGGCTCTCGTGCATCCTGTTCTGGTGGTAGAAAAGATGAGAGTGTGGACAGTGAGTCATGTGCAGCAAGAGGCGCGGCCATGGGCAGCAAGCACTGGAAGCCCATCCGTCTTTGGGAGGCCTTTACTGAGTTGCTGAGAGCGGCAGTGCCTTGGGCAGCACAAATGCTTGGTTTTTACCTCGGTCTTGTTCCACTGTTGGACTTACCACTTCTTCGTCTTCTACCAGGACCATGTCGTAGGCGCTGAGCGCGGCACAGAATATGATGCACGTGACTCCTTCGAAGCAGTGAATCCATTTCTTCCTCTCCGACCTCTGTCCACCCACATCAAACATTCTTCAAAAAAGTTAAATGAAAAATGAATCTTGCAAAATCTACATAAAGGTTAACAATAAAAGTCATACAAGGTGCTCCCATGCCCTCAACAAGCATTCTGTTTTTTATTGATTATAAAATATTCTACAACTTGCAATGTAAGGACTACAGAAAAATAGAAATTTCATTTTTTAAAGAAATCATTATGCAGAGTGGAGTGTAATACTTTCCACACTGTCTTTGAGCAACTTGAAAATTTAAAGCAGGTTTGTTTTCATAAAAAATGGACAAGCTTTGGAAGTTTCTGATCAGAATTTGTACATCTTCTTGAGAAGGAAGAGAAACTTCAGGAAGATCAGCAGCCTCTACTGTTGGGATACTACACGCGACCTGTGACCCTCTCCTGCTCTCTTAGCTCTTCCTGCATTCATTTGTTTATTCAAGCAGTGAGTGTTTGCCTCCTGTGCAGACGATGTGCTGCATTCGCCATGTAAAGAGGAGGAGACAGGGTCTATCTTCAAAAAGATGGTTGCCCGGCAGGCAGAAAAGCAAGAAGGCTGCTGTACCACCATGTGATAGACATTGTAAAGGACGGAAGGAAACGCCAGAGGGTGAGGAGGCTCCTGCCAACCCCACGCTCGTGAGCCTCACCCCAGGCTGATGGCTTGCTCTTGGCTGCTCTCTCCTGTTTCAGCAGAAGCCAGCGATGTGGACAGAGCTTCCGAGCAGCTCCTCTAACGCCCCATACCTCCAAGTTCTAAGCATCTGCAGTGCTGTCACCGGTGGGGCAGGTTCCTCGCCCAACTCTCCCTTCCTGTCTAGCCTTTCTCAGCAAAGCTACTGCATACAGTCAACTGGCTTCCCTGTTTGTAACCATACAGCCCCCACACTACCTTGGCAAATCCAAATTTTGTTTGCATGCACTTTGTTTTAGCGAACTGATGAGTCTCACTAAGCAGTCTTCCTCGCAGCCCTTTAGTGAGCTCTGCTTCTCCTGAGCAAAACGGCGGCTGGGGACATTCAGGGGCTGCAGGTTTCTGGACTTTTGGATCCATCCCTGGAACCTGACCATCCCTCACCTGTTGCTGTCTCTTCAGCACTTGCTCCTGGAGGCTGTCCTGCGAGCTCCCCTAGTCCAAATGGAACTTTCGCTGCCCCAGGACTTCAACAAAGCAGTCTCCTTTCCCTGTGCCACATGTCCCTCTTTCTGCCTCTCAGGATTTCTTCTTTCTTAACTTTTAGATCTTAACTTTTAGATGAATGTCTTCACAGAAGACCCACCCAAGAGTCTTTTGTAAATCTTTTCCTCTCCTTATTCCCTGATACTCTGAATCACTCTCTTTCCTGTATAGTAACCATCAAAATTAATAACTAGCTGGTTTTAAAAGTCCTTTACATGCTTAATATCTATCATCTCCCTACCAGAGTACCAGGCTCCTGAAAGCAGGGTCTTGGTCTTAGTAAGTACTTCATTTCCAGTGTCCAGCACCTTGCCTGACACATAACAGATGTATGACCACGGCAAGTAAATGAACAGCTTTCGGGTTAATGTAAGGCAGGGATATCTTTCATACAAAGTGCATGTGGAAGGCTGCAAGGCATGAGAGAACACAGCCTGTTCGAGATAATATTATAGGAGCGTTACAGTTATGGTGAAACCATTGAGTTTTGTGACTTCATAAGTACCTTCAACTCACTCATTCGATAAATGTTGATTAAACCCTGACTGTTTACCAGGCATCGAGGATTTTGTCTTGGGAAGCTTCTGATCTGGCAGCAGTGGTGATGGCTTGTGTGTGTGTGTGGGCGGGGACACACTTGAAGCACCCGTGTAGAGTAGGGAAGGAATAGGACATGCAATGGAATCATCAGCGACAATACAGGATGACAGCTGTGCAGAACCCCAAGCACATGCGGGACTGAGCAGATGAGGCAGGAGAGGGGCAGCCCGGCAAGAAGCTGAGACAGTGTGAGGTGCTTCCTCCAGGAGAAATCGAGATTTCAGATAGTGGGGGGTGATTTTAGGAAGGGGGCTGGCATTGTTTGCTGCTGTGGTCAGTAGCTTTGATCCGAGTCAGCAAGGTAGTTGCTAAGGCAAAGATAAGGAGCAAAGGACCTTGCAGTAGTGGAAAGGTGAGGTCATTACATATCAAAAAGCAGCCAAGCTCTGCAGATTTCCAGGGTGGTAACCGTACTGCAAGTAATGAGTTTCACCCAGTGCTGAGGTGCCAGGTATAATCAGGAACACAATATGCTGTACTTGATATTTCCAGTATGACTAAGTAGAAAACAAGTCTGCAGCACTGAAATTATATATATATATATATATATATATATATATATATATATATATTCATTCACTAATAAGGGAGAAAAATGACGTGTCCTAAATTTATTCACAAGCAGGAGAGAAGATTGATTAGCAATCAATTCAGCCCACATCTTTGGATCAAAATTACCAAATGATGAAGCAAAACCTGTACCACCTCCCCCAAGTCCGTGCTGAAATCCTTTACTAGGGCCCCAGAGGATGGCAAAAATGCAGCTACCTTCAACCAATCAAAGAGAAATAAGCGACCCTCCTAACCTTCCTCCCTCTCCCTCAAACGCCTGGCCTGCTCCGCGTCATCCATCCCTCGTCTCCCTAGCCCACGTGCATGCAGTGTGAGTGATTAATGCCTGCTTTCCCTGAGTTTTCAAGAGCCACAGTGACCTCACAGGCTCAGTGAGTGTCCGCAGGTGCTCCCAGGACTGCTGGTGGCTTGGGGGTTGGTGCCAGCTCTGGTCCTGCTCTCCTGGCTAACACACCTTTTTATTTCAGGAATCTCCTGGTCTCTACAAGTTTGATTTTGTTGCAACAGTGCACATATGCACTTGCTTCATTTAGGAGCATATTAAAAGAAAAACTTTTCATAATATTGATAATAATGGCTAATATTTCAATAGTTTTGTGGTTTGGAGTCACATTTAGTGCCAAAAAAGAACACTACATGTGCTTCTACTCAAACCCTCTGCAGTCTCAGGTTTATAAAATGAAGAAAAGCAGCATAAATTTGTGCTTAAGAATATATTATGTGAAAACAAACTGGTGCATTTGTTTTTAACAGCCAACGTTCTTAAGGAAGCAAGCTAATAGTTATACATTCTTATCAGACTTTTAAAATTTTAGACAAATATTTTGTTAATGTGTGCAAACAGCCTATGTTTCTTTCCTCTGATACTTTTCAAAAGACACTTTCATCTGTGCCATTATTGAAGTTATCATGAATCAGAAAAGGTGGGAGAAGTGGCAACAATTCAGATCACACTTTTTCCCCTTCTTATACCCTTATATCATTAATTTTAATTGATTGATACTTAAGAATTTACTGTTTTCCAAACAGGCAATGACACTTTTCCACCAAGCAATGCATTCCAACCTCACCATGCATTTGTCATATAGACACATTTCTTATGTTTAGATTGGCTTGTTAGCAATGTGTTCAAGTCTTATTAATCTAATTAGCTGCCACTGAGCCTGCTCAGTTCCAGGCACAGCAGTGGGCTCTGCGGACAGAAGAGAGGCGCTGTGTAAGTTGCTAGCTCCTGAGACAGAAATCTGTTTACTTAGACCTGAGGCTCCAATGAGGACCAGTGCCCGTAATTAGCTTACAAACCCACGCTGATGGGCTGGAATCATCTTCACTGTGGGGCTCGTCCTTCTGTCCAAAGGTCAGACAGGAGCCCTTTACATATTTCCCAGTAGTTCATGGGTAAAAAGGGAGGCATTGGGCTTTCTCTTATGAAGACAGTGGGAACCCCCGGGTCACAGGTGTACCTGCTCCTTTCATGATGACTGACATAATAAGGATCACTATTACTTGCTGACAAAGAAATATAATGCTGTGAAAGCATGCCATCAAGGGACCAGGACGCAGGTGATGGAAGGGACAGAGCATTTGTGCTGCAGGCCCCTCATGTCCCATTTCTAGAATAGAAAAGGCCTCGCTATAGGAGGAGAGCGCAGCGTAGCTCGGTCACATTTTCTCAGCTAGGCAGGACATACTCCCCTTACCATTTGCCTTGTGCCCCTTTCCTTGGATTTGGTGTTTATTTGTTTATTTATTTGCTGTCTTTTTGAGGCAGGGTTTTACTTGGTAGTTCAGGCTGGCCTTGAACTCATGGTGACCCTCCGGCTTCAGCCTCCCGAGTGCTGGGATTACAGGCCTGCATTACCACACTCAGCTTCTTCTTGGCTCTTAGGTCCAGCTGTGTCTTTCCCTCTATTCTGATGGACATTTTCTTCTTTTAATCACATTTATATTTTTAATCACATTATATTCAAATCTCGTAAAAATCCTTCTTTTAAGGTGATTTTGAGACACTGGTTAAATGTCCTGCCTGGTGACTAATTATGTCACCCCAGAAAATACTAATGATGTCACCAGTTGTTTTCCCCTCCGTGTGAATAGTTCTATACTGTTTTGTGTTTGGCAAGGGTCCCTAATAAACTGAACCAATGAAGGACATCAAAATACAAGAATCCAAGGGTATGGGATCTCTAGAAGACATGTTTCTGGGGACAAACAGAAATTTCCTAACTCTCTCCATATTTATTTTCCACAGCACAGTGGTCTCAGGTGACTTTTCCATGTGCTCTGAGATGAAACCAGAGTGTGCACCAGCTCAGCCCTCAGGGCTGGCCACCTTCCCTGCAGGGTTTTCCTCTTCGCAGCCCACGAGGACTCCATGGAAGCCAGGCCGAGGCAGTAGCCTTCCTCCTCTCCTGTAAACGCTGGCGACTGTGCTATGCACCGGCCGGAGCAAGGAGACTCACGGTCGCACAGAAGCCATAGAGTGACTGTGCTCCCTGAGAAGTAGACTCGTATCCAGAGTTCTCCTTTTCTTTGCTCCTTAGGACAATTCTTGGGAGTAGATGGGAAAATGGTACTTGCCGACTTTAGAAGAGAAGGAACTGAGGCCTTGGGAAGCTGCCTGGTGTGGTTCTGGACTCAGAGTGCGTAAACGGCAGGACTTACGCAGGGCACCCTGGCCAAGCGTTGTTCCGGCAGAGCAAGCGGCAGCCACAGGCTGACTTCCTGTAAGCTTAGCCTTTTCTCTAGGCAGGGAGCATCGAGATTCCTCAGCCTTTATTCATATTGATAAGGTGGCTTCAGAAAGCCTCTCTTAGGTGGAATGTTCTCATATCATCTGTGACTCACCTGATACATAATGTTTTCTCTGCACAGATTAGCAAAGGAGACATAGGTCGGAGCAACCTTAAGTGTTTTTCTAAAGCCATCCACCTGCTGTTAGTTATGCAACTGAAGTGCTCGTTAGGAAAGTGGACCATAGCCATATCGATTCTTCGGGGCACTGTATTAGCTCTAAGAAAAGTCAGATTTTGTTAAGATTATTGTAGTAATTGAATTCTTATATACCCTTTATTCATTACATTTTATCTAAATTTTTGTTGTTGTTGTCTTCTTATGACAGGGTCTTCCTATGTAGCTCAGGCTGGCCCTGAACTCCCTAGGTAGCCCATGTTTACCTCAAACTAACAGTGCCCCCCCGCCCCGCCCCGCCTCAGCTTCTCCAGGGCTGATATTACAGGTGTGAGCCATCATGCTTGGCCTACACCTACTTTATAGAGAGGTAAAGTATTACAAACTATTAAAGAAATTTGGAGACTTCTCAGGAGAGAATTTACATGTATATATAACTATAGAGATAAACTCCCTAACATATCAAAACAGAAAAAAAAGTACAATTCCATACTGGCTGGGCTAGGAAAAACAAAATGTAAATCAGATGAAAACATGCCATCTTGTTTACCTGCATGCTTATGATCAACTATGAGGGACATTGATCAGAAGATGTTTCAGTAAGCTTTAGTCCCTCAGTACACTGACCAGACCTTTAAGAATGTTGAAGGGGACTTACAGTCCTAATTTGGGGTGTTTTCTTGTTTTGTCAGTTACTGGCTGGAGGAGTCATGCATATTTACTTATTACGTCTGTTGTTTAAGTTGTGTAAGATTCTTCAAAGAAGGGTGATCATCATGTATCTAGAAGTTAGCAGGCTAGACTCCGCAGCGAGGGCTGATGTGACAAGGAGCTGAGGTGTGTGAGGCACTAGCCAGGACATCAGAGCCGTGTGGCTTTTGTTAACCAGGGGGCTACGACACAGCTGAGTTTATCATCCCATTTTAAGCAATTGGAAAGCTTTTCAGTTTTATGGGTTTATGTTAAACCGTTGGTTCAGTATTGGATCACAAATAATTATTCACATTTCATATTAGAATACTGTGGAATAATCTTTTTTGTTTGAATCCCTGTAAAGTGATAAAGCTTGGGTAGCTTCTGTAGAGACTTTATACTCCATGTAGGTGTCACATCAAATGCTCACTTTCTAGTATGTGGCATCTTAAAACAACTCACCATTGCTAACACCTTCCATATATGGCAGTATAAAAATAAGACATAATCTGAGTCATAATTTATTTTGAACTACGTGGCTTTGTCAGACTTCGTAGTCTGACAAAAATGACCAGAGAGGCTTGGCCAGAGCTGTGCGCCCGTACTACACGGCCAGACCACAGTATCTGGTGAAATCTGCCCTTCGCCCTGGATCTGAAACTAGAGAAGGGCAGATTCTGACAGTCACCCACAATGTTCACAAATCCTTTCTAAACCCTTTTCTAAATCTTGATTTTAGAGTCATGGTGACTTGCCACCACGAGAGTGACAGGGTCTCCAAGTCTTCACGAGTGTAAACACTATTCCAAGATCACCTGGTTACCTGCTTCCTACGGCACAGAGAGCTGCGTGCGTGGGATGCGCTGCTCACTGGGGACTTCTCTGATTATTGGATAATGCAAGGCGTGAGGCCACTAAAAATCTGTCGCTAGAACAAATTGGGTATTATGTCATATTATTTTGGCGATATTAGTCTTGAACACACCTGCATCAAATGCATGGTGTCCATGCAATAGAACAGAAAGCAAACCTCAGCTGAGGGCCAGCTGCTGTGAGGCCGCCAGTGTCTCCTACGCTCGGGCGACTCCGCCCGCACACGCGAACAGGAGGAAGAACGTCCAGTTTCCTCTTTCCTGTGTTTCCTTCCGCGGTTCTGCTCAAGTGTTCTCAAAAGCAGTTATGCTAAGTGCACAGGATTTTAGCTGCTGTGACATAACAGCCCCTGACCTTTCCCCTGCAGTCCTGCAGAGCTCAGAGTGCTTTCAATTCTGTTTCTTCATCATGGAGGCTTTAGTGAGAAAGTGCTACTGCTCTAGTCATTTGCTAACCCTGACAGGCCTTTCTCATAAGGTTTTTTTTTTTGTTCTTGAGAATTATTCTACAACTGTAGAGCAGCAGGACTCACACTTGTAGTGCATTTTTCACTTACTTATATGGCAATTTAAGTCTCTGCAAAAATAATTTATCAGTTTGATGTTAGAGTTGTAGTTTGACAAGGACTGTAAGGTAATTTATGTTCTCAGCTTGACACTGCAGTCCAGGTTTGATGAGAACAGTGAGTAATTTCCATTAAATTAGGTGATACACGAAGATGACACACTAGCCTGGTGTCATCTAGAGAAGAGTTTTCATTTTTTGTGTGCCTATTTAAAATTCTAGAGCTCTCTAATTTAATATGCAAACTGCATATTCTGTTTGCAGTAGTCACAGGACGGTTTATGCTCTGTGAGTACAAATCGATGTTAACCTAATATGTTTGAACAACTGGTGCTCTTTCCAAGGCAAAGGTTTGGGTCTCCTCCAGTACGTGTGACTGCACTTCACCTGCGAACCCGGGGTGAGCAGCTCAAGGTAGAGCTGAGGACACTGCTTCCTGGGGCTCAGGAGAGACAAGGCAGAAAGACACACAAAAATGCCACGTGTGGGCAGCGGGGCTGGTGCTCCGGCAAATGAGGGTCCTTTGCCCAAGTCTTCTCCACATCTGCCTTGGATGCCCTGGCATCGGTGGGCTGACACCCGCCTGGCACAGTGGAGGAACCTCTGGGGCTCCACACGGGTCCCTCCACACACTGCCCGGAAGCCTGATGTCACGTGTGTCCTAGTAACAGTGACAGAGATCTGCAGCCCAGGCAGACAGCAGGGGGACTTGAGGACTTCACTGGGAGAGGGACTCGTCCCTGCCCAGGCCAGGGTAGCACCTTGGAGCATGGTGATCTGTTACAACTGCTATGTCTGAGAAGCCCTGAGTCACTCCGCATGGTAAGGGGTCCACAGGGATGTGCACTTTTAGAGATTCCGTAAGTGACATTAGTTCTATCATGGAAACTATCCGACCCACACCCGGGACTTTACCTGCTCCAGGCTTCTCTGCAGACTCACCAGCCAGCGCAAACTGCTGCCCCTTCCCAGGCAGGGCGTGTGGGCTCAGTGCGGCCAGCCAGCCTGCAGGGCAGCACAAGGAGACCGGGACAGGCGCTGCCAGGGTGAGGTGGGCAGCAGGGGAGCAAGTGGACATTGGCTGCCAGGGAAAGCTTCGGAGAGTGCGTCAAAGACCAGTTGTCTAAGTAAGGTCCTTGCCAAAGTGCACCTGACTATGGCGGAACCAGGCCTGCTCACAGGTCAACTTCTCCTTCTCCTTCTCCTTCTTTCTCCTTCTCCTTCTCCTTCTCCTTCTCCTTCTCCTTCTCCTTCTTTTCTTTCTTTCTTTCTTTCTTTCTTTCTTTCTTTCTTTCTTTCTTTCTTTCCTTCTTTTGGTTCAGGCTGGCCTTGAACTCACAGCCAACCGCCTGCCTCAGCCTCCCCCATGCTGGACTAGCAGTCGCGTGCAGCCACACCCAGCTCTGCCTGGGACTCCTAATGCACAACCAAGAGTGGCTGCTGATCTGATCCATGTCGCTCCTCTGGCCTTTGGCTTATCTTCCAGAGGATTAACTGTGTGGGCCTGAGATGTAATGTGAACTTTGAAGGGATTTCTTTCAGCTCAATTAAAAACATTCTACCTATATTAGTTCGACTTTATAACCAGTTTTCAACCTTTAAAATTTTCAAAGCCTTTATCTCACCACAACAAATTTTATGATACTAATTAGCAACCTCTTACTCTCCTCTGGCAAACAGACATTAATAATTCCTGGCAGCCTTCCCTCCAAGATTTCTACTCTTTACAATGTTTGCCTTACTGGATCCATGAATGGCTTACTTAATTATGCTATTATTAATTTCTTGCATTCCTGAAGGATCCAAGTAGCCTTTATTAATAATGGTTAATATTTCACTTCGTCCACAACCCACACCCTTGAGTTGGAGTGGGTTTGCAGTAAAATTTCAGGAAAGAGTGAGAATACAACAGCAAGAAAAATCACGGTCGGTCCTCATGCCCCAACACGCCTGTGACGCCTGCCTTGTCTTCCAGTAAACGGCAGCAGCAGATGCAAACCATTCTCTTTTTAATGATTTGAATTTATAAAATCAGGCAAACAGATTCAATATAAATATTTCAACCAAATATTAAAGGAGAAGGCAAGGCAATAGGATCCCTGCTGCTCACGTGTTCTTTAAATGACTTTCCTTCCTTTAAAATCCAAAGTTCAGTGTCAGTTTTAAAAAGAAGGAAAACAAAATTCAGCCCTCATTTGCGGAAGACAAAAACAAGGCAGACAGGGGTCAGCAGGAAGGAAGGAGGGTCTCAGGACGAGGGCTGGGAGAGGGCGCTGCGTGGGCAGACATGGAAGGGGTGTCTGACCCTACCTGAAGTGCAAGTCTTTGAAGGAGAACTGAGTTTCAATGATGCCGGTGGTCTTCACCCGAGAATGGAGAACATCTTGCTCATTTGGCACATACCCGGGGGCTGCTATTCTGTCTAAGTCATTAAGGTAGCTAAGAAAAGAAAAAAAGAAAGAATATGGATATTTAACTGTGTCTTGGAAGATGTCAGGATTCAGTACAAGTGAACTTTTAGCTTATTTTTTTTCAACTTTAAGTTTAGAGCCCATTAAAAATGATAAACTCCATGCCAGAGCCTTTCACACTGCTATCGGAGTTGGAAGAATTTGGTCGCTGGAATTTGCAACAGGCAGAGCACTAGTGACGCTCAACCAAAACTCTGGCCTACTGCCAGGCAGTGGGACCCACACCGCCTAAGCTGGTGTGTAGGGAGGACGCCTGACACATGTGCTGGCTTGTGCAGAGCGGCAGGACAGGCGGGAACGCATCCAGATGGAACCCACAGTATAGGGCCCAGGTGCCCAGCGCTAGCAGGTGGGTGTGCAAGGGCCTCTGTCCATGCTCTCTGTGGGGCCCTGGGCTGTCCTTGCAGTTCTGTCCCTTTAATGAAGCCATTTTAGTATTTAAGAGGATAATTGGCTTAAAACACAAAATCTGAAAGTTGTAATTTTTGCAGAAGTCTCATAGTTTAGGACCAGGGACCATGCTGACTCTAGGCAGCTCAAGGAAAGGATGCTGCTCCTCGGGCTGGTGCACAGGGGACCTAACTCATGACAATGCAGCCCTTGCCTGAGCGAGCACCTCTGGGGGCAGAGGCTGAAAACACAGCATCCGCCCCCAGCTCTGTGGTAGTCTTAGCCCTCCTTGAAGACAGGTCAGCATCCCTCTTCTCATCAGGCTGAATGCCGATGCTCTTCTCCCTATGGGACCCTTGAGACCCTTTGGGTGAGGTGCACAAATATGCCCTAGTAAATTGTGTTTGCTCTGCAAGTCTGTTAGATCAGTGGAAGGAAACTGCTCCTGGCTTGTCCATCCCTGGAAACAAATATGTGAATCACCCAAAAACCAAATGTTTTATTCCTTGATTTTCTTGGAACACCAAAGTTCTAGACTTTTGACACTTAAGCTTCAGTGGCCTAGCAGTATGGCTATTCCTTTAAATAATTTAAATATCAATAACAGTAGCATTTTAATGTTTCATGACAAATATGACCATTGCCTGGACCCAGGTTTCTATAACCTAGAGAAAAATGAGCATTTTCCCATGAGATAGAATTGGAGAGTCAGTGGTACAGTAGTTATGCTTCAAAGTTGAATTTTTTTTTCTAGGATTTAGGTGGACAGACTGTTGTATCTCTAATAATGTCTTTAAAAATCTAGCTATTTTTTCATTAAAAGATAGAAGAGGGTGGGGAGATAGCTCAGTGGTCTAAGCGCCTGCCTGGCAAGCAAAAGGAGCCGTGCTTAATCCCTGGTACCACATGCTGTGCCAGCCCTCAAACCAGGCATGATGGCACATGCCTGTCATCCCAGCACTGGAGAGGCTGAGACAGGATCACTATGAGTCCGAGCTGCGTAGTGAGACCCTGTGCCAAATACATAAATAAATAGTTTTTTTTAATATAGAGTAATATGATAATTTATTCAAGGGTCTTCACATTTTTAACCTGAAACAAGCTAGGAATGGGAAGCAATCCAGAGGAAACAGGTTTGAGAGCAAAATAATAAATACATAAGAGAAAAGAAAATAAATCACATCCTAGGAATATTAAAATGTAAAAAGAAAGCACCGCCATTATTTTATCCTAGTGAAGATTCTTTGTTTTAAGAAGAATGCCACATTAATCCTGAAACGTATCAGAGAAAGTGCCGGCCACCACTTGCTGTGCGGATGTGTCTTCTACCCGAGGAAGGAAAGCTCTGGGAAGGTCTCCTTCACCAAGTCTGCATACAGTTTAGGTGTATTACTGGTCAGTAAGCTCATGCCTGAGTAAAAGACAAATAAACCTGCCTATCAAAATAGAAATTAAATTCATTTTAATGATAAGTAAATGAAAGCTTGGGTGAACATGCATACTGATGAATTTCTATTTGTGCACAAGAATAATTTCAGGCAAAGTAGACACATTCAAAATGGTTATTTTAATAAACAAATATCATATTTGGGTGTTCAAAACTAATTCAAATCTCGGGCCAGAGACTATATTTATATATGATTGAATTCACTTAAAATAATTGATTCTTTTTCCAATTAAATAAAAGCAATATTTCTTTGGATGGATGAAAGTCTGTGTTAATTCCTGAAGCCCGTGGATCTTAAGCAGCACTGCAGATCTCCATCCAGCAAGCCTGCAAGCTTCACTAAGTTCTCCCTCCCTCCAGTCTCAGCAGCCTCTCTTTGCTGGCACCGAGGGGCTCCCCGGGCTGCCAACCACCGTCTTTCTGCCCTTTGCTCTCATGAGATGCAACTTTATGTTAGCCCCAACCGGAGGCTCTCGAGCAAATAACAAGCACTTCACCCTCATCAGTCAGTCAATCAGTCAATCAGTCAATCTATTCATGCAAATGGTAGAAACCTCTCCTATACAATGCATGTGAAATGTACATGCAATCAGCTGACCATCTAATTTTATGTTTAAGTTTTCAATATGAATATACTTTAGCATTTGTTTTAGAAAAAAAAAACCTCTTAATTTGTGGGAGAAAGCACGGCCCATTCCACAGTTTTCTTAGTAAGCTTTCCTTTTGACACATCTAAGCAAAATAAAAGTTAGTGTTTTAATCTTTGGGTTTACCTATAAAATATTTCTGAGACTGTCCTGGGAGGTGGCGGTCAGCTTCTCTGCTATTTTCTGCTGTGCGGATTTTTTTGGGTGGTCAGCAACTATTACAACATGGGCAGTATCCATCTAGTCAGTGTAAATTGATGTTTCATTGTGTCTAACTTGAGGTATAGATCAATATTTTAATATAATTCTATAATTGTGTAAAAAACATGTTTTGTAACAAAGGAATAACTTTAAAAGTATAATAAAATGCCACTGTCGTCGCCAATTTTAACTATATAGGCTGCAAATAGCTTCTGCCTAGTAAAGAATAAGGGGTGAACACAATTACAAGTTCATTTCTTCTAATATTGTAAAGGAAAGCTAATGGTTAATCAATATCATGTACTGCAAAACTAAGAAACTAACTACAGCTCACCCAGCCCTTTCCCTCCTCTGCCCCGAGACTTTGCTGAGATGGGACCCTTCAGCCAGCCAGCATTCCGTCCCCTGGCTCTTCCAGGGACGAGCACACAGGCAGGGCTTCCTCACCTTTCTGAGAGATCCCTTTATCGCTAAAGTGCGGCTGGCCCCAGACACTCTGGAAAGCTGCTAACAAGTCTATGAAATCACAAAATGATGCCCATCTAGCACTACCTCCAGAAGGTAACGTGCCCTTGGAAGCCAGGGTCCAAGAGGACAGCGAGAGAGCAGTCCAGAAGGCCACTGTTTCTCCTTGGATAAATGCCACTCATCCCATTCCAGTCATTGTCCCCACCACCGACGAGCACCTAAAGTGTCTCGCGAGCTTTGCTATTCTGTCCTCAAATGATGCTCTGTGGGCTTCACGTTTACACTTTCATGTTATCGTTTGTTGCTATTTTCATCTCGTTTGCTCAATTAAGTACTGCTGGTATGTTCTGTGGGGGGTTATGAAGGGTTTGTGTTTGAACTCTCTGTGCATGCGTATGCAAGGACAAAAGCAAAACGAGCACTTAAGTTAGAGCTCATTCCCGTGTGCTCGCAGGAATATACTAAGTGGATGGCTGAAGAAGGACTTGCTAAAAGAAAATTTAAAGTCACGTTGACAATAGAATCGTAAGTAGTGTCTCACCTCCTTATTAGCTCTGCCTTTTGGCTAAGAAATGCTTATAGGACGATGTTGGCAATGAGAACTAGGTCATGCTTCTCCGGCCTCTCAGACAATCCGACAACATGCAATTGTTCAGGTAGTGACTGCTTATTTTCTTTTAGATTTGGGCATCCTGCACATCAATCCAGTGAGCTAAGGCTTGTGTCACTCATGAAATTACTCTAAGAGACACCTTCAGGAACATTAATGTGAAAGAAATAAACAGCCCCCACCTCAGATCTCACAGTGCCAGCCTGTCCTTTTCCCACAGGAGAAGACAGGCACCACCCGGGAGTCACGAAGAGCACAGAGTTTTACAATCAGCTCTTTTAAATATCTGATATTTTCCCACGTAATTTATACCATCTTGCTCATTTTTACTTCTCTATTAAGTTGCCTGCTGCCCTCATTCGTGTCCACAAGTGTACCTAGGCAGAGTTTCAGTGCAGCAGGAGCAACTGCGATCGGCTACACCCGCCTGAAGGCAAGCCACTTACTAAGCTGCGGAGTCGTTGAGCTGGTACTCGGAGGCTCGCTCGAAGCAGGTCTGGATCCCGGGGTCGCGCCACAGCCGCTTGATCACCTGCGCCAGCTGAGGGGTCATGGCCCCATCCTCCAGGGTCTCTGCCATCACACAGAGCTGCCGCTGGTCATCCTGGTGGGTGAGAAGGATAAAGGCGTGTTGCTGGAATCACATGGTGTGTTGTTTTGCTCCCACATTTTAACTGTATCAATTTTGTGATTCCTTTTGCCAGCAACTCCATGCAACATGTTTACAAAACACATTAAAATCCGTAGACCTCGAATTCATTAAAGTTCCCCCTTTGCAAGACTATAAAATGTTCCGTGCAGAAATTGGGTTATCTGGTTTGTCTATCATTTCTGACTTCTCCGTATGATGTCAGGAAGGGGAGTGACACTTGGGTACCTAGCTATCCAGGCTCACAGGGCTGGACTGTGGGGTGCCAAGAATAAGGAAATAAGCTCAACCTGGTGTCTTGGCTTCCTTAGACAGTAGCCACGTATAGTTTTATGTATACTTGCTTATATTACATAATGTTTACATGCCTTGTGGGGACTTGGGACATATATATAGTGAACCTTAATTCCTTCCTCTTGAATCCCTCTCTTTCCCTCCTTCCTTGTCTCCTTCCCTCATTCACTGCTTCCCTCCCTCCTTCCTTCTCTCCCCTTTTTCTCCCTCCCTTCCCCTCCCCTCCTTCCCTTCCCCTCCTTCCCTCCCTCCCTTTCTTTCTCCCTCTCTCCCTCCTTCCTCCCTCTCTCCCTCCCTTCTTTCTTCCCTCCCTCTTTCCTTCCCTCCCTGTTTCCCTCCATCCCTTCCTACTTCCCTCCCTCCCCTCCATCCATCTCTGGATCCCCTCCTTCCCTTGCCCCCTTCTTTCCAGTACCCAGCTCCTTGTGTGTAGTTGGCCCCCACGTGCAGCACATCCTAATTTCCTCTCTCAGCCCTTTCCTCCCCTCCCTTCTCCTCCTTCTGTTCATCTCCTTCCCCCTTTGAGCAAGATCACTCTCCCTTCTTCCCATTATTGATCTTTTATTTTCCTCTTCATACTTTGAGTTTCTCACATAAGAGAAACCTGTCATCTTCAAGCTTGGGCATCTGACTTATTTCACTTAAGAGTATAGTCTCAGGATGCAGTCACTTTCCTACAGACGACTCGAGCTTAGCCTTCTAAAGAACTGCACTGCACTGTGTAAAAACCACATTTTCTTCATCCGTTCATCTGTTGGTGAACAGGTAGGCTGCTTCCAAGATCTAGCTGCTATGAATTATGCAGTTTTATGGCCATATTCATTAATAAAAAAGAACCAAAGAAGAACAAGAGTAAAATGGGAAATAAATTCACTGTAGTAAATTTATATTTAAAATTACTATGCAATCTTATTTGCCATGGGGGATTCTCTGTGACCATGTAGCTAAGTAGTAGAAATATTTAGACCCATAGAGATTCTGAACACCCCTGTAGGTACTGCTTGCTGCGTTTGGAGCAAATCAATAGGGCAGAGGTGAGATTAGGAAACAAAAAAGAAAAGCAGGGATTATATTAGCTCTCTCAGCACAATATTTGGAGGTTACAAGGAGAAACACGATAGAGAAGTTTACTGAATAAATACACTCAATTTGCACAACTTCTGCTAGTCACTATTTAGGCTAAAAGTCAAAATGTTATGACCAAAACGATTTATTTTTTCAAAGGTTAAAAGTTGGAGTTTCCAGCTGGTTAACCCAACCGTGGTAGTTGCCCAGGTGGCTGGAGTCCTCCAAGCTCACCTTGGGGTGGCAGACTCCAGAGTCCTGCCCTAGCGAGATCTCAGCAGTGGGCACCACTGCAGTGACGGAAACAGCACGCACCAGGCCTCCTGTGGCTGCCCAGGTGATAATAGTGCAGGCTGTGGCTACTCCACTTGCATCGTGGGAGTCTAAGTCTCAGAGGGGAATTTGCCAATGAGGAGAATACGCACAAGAAAAAGAGTCAAACTCGGATGCAATGTGTGTAGTTAGGCTGTAGGAGGAAGTGTGTGTTCGGGGAGAACCTGCTGCTTTTTTGCTACAATTCAATTATCTTAAAACTGACCACAGATTTATTGCCCAGTTTTCTTGAAACTGTTCTTTGCATTAAAGGGTACATGAATATCTGTTGTTGCTAATGACTTCGGTAAGGCAAAATCCTTTATTTCATTTTTCTTCCAAATCAAGTTATTTTATTAAAATCAATCCAAGCAGATAACCATTGGGCGAACTATGAAACAGTCAAGAGGGAATACAATTTTACCACCTTCCTTCTCTGTTAGACAGAGGTAGGAGGGAGCTGCACACTGGGGCAATGAACCCTGTTCATGGGTAGTGCCTCCCATGGGGCGCTGCCTGCTGTCCAGCGCCTTTTAGGACCAGTGAGGGAACAAAGCGTCTGTTCCCAGGGCCCCGCCCTTCAAGGACAGCATGCAGGGCACTGCAGGAGCTGCTCTCACCTGCCCTGTCCCTTCCTCTGCAGTGTGGCATGCCGAGGACACGGCCACATTCTCCGAGGACATCTCTCAAACACCTGCCTGGTCCCAAGCCCTCCTGGGCCACTCTCATGTCCTCTGCTCTCCTTAGAGGAAGGCCGCTACCTCAGTTTGATTTTTGTCTCCCAAAACCTTTTCCTTCTTTAAATCATTACATGCATGGGTGACTATTAGCATCTGCCATCTTTGTTTCTTTGTAAGCCGTAGACAGCATTTTACAGGACTCAGTCACTTCAGTCCTGACAGTCTTGTGCTCATCAAAGGGCTGATATAATTTAAAGAATTAACATTTCCAGGACCAGCCAAATAGCTCAGTGGATTAAAGCTCCTGCTTAGGCAGACTCAGGGACCAGCATTCAATTCCCAGCGTGCCATGCCAGCCCTGCCCCGGGGGATTGCTGAGACCTCAACTATTACTGGGCGTGGTGGCGTAAGCCTGCAGTCCCAGATCTTGGGAGGCTGTAAACAGGGGAATCACGACATGTCCAGTCTACATAGTGAGACCCTGTAGACCCTGTCCTAAAAACATTTTAAAAATAAATAAATAAAAAAGAATTAACATTTCTGCTCTTATGGACATGGGCCTGCCAATCATTTGAAGTTGTAAAACCATTAAAACCAAAACTAACATCTATTATGACACATCATCATCCACGTGACAGTCAAACTGCTAACTAAACTACAAGATATTTTACTCCTGTATTTTAGTAACTCTGGTCATCTCCCACCAGACTCTAAATAAAAACCTAATCATTTACAAGGGCCCCAGTGCTCCGTGTGCTTTGATGCCATCCACCTTCTGATCTTCTTCTTGTCCTTCCTGTCTCCTCTGCCTTCCCTCCAGTCTGCCCCTTAGTGCAGATCATACGCCAGGGCATTTGCGGGCAGTAGCACCTGGACCCAATAAATAGCCACCTAAGCTTCGAGCGCGCATGTGCAGTTGCTTGCCTTAGGGAATGTCTCACGGAACTCAGGAAACATCATCTACTAACACTCATTCTTTAGTTACTTTCCTTCTTAGTGCTTTCAACCTGTTTGGCTCAATGTTGGGCCACACTGTGCTTTTGAACAAGCAGATGCTTTGGAATGACTTGTTCAACATCACGCCTGAGTGTCCTGGGGACAAACTGTATGTCAGTCTCAGTTATTGCCGAATGCTCAGTGTATCTCTGCTATCCAGCCCAGAGTCTGTCACAGGAATAATACGTTCACACAAAGCTTTGGTTTTCAAATGACCATCGGTGTGTAGAACGCAGGACATAAATCTGAAAGGATTGCAATCAAAATAATTATGAAAAATAATAGCTGATATTTATTGGGAAGTTGCATTCCCAGCAAATCACAATTACATCCCCACTGCAGCATTCTGCATGGGGAATTATTTTATGTTTTATAGTTTACTGAGAAAAATACTTACATTATGTGATTGAATTAATTAAAATCTAGATTCAGTAACTTGTCTAAACTTATAAAATAGTAACTGATATACCTCTCTAATTTTTCCTCTTGGAAAATTCTTTGAATGATGATCTGTGTGATGATGTCCAGCTAGCTATGTACAATATACCAATTTGGGAAAAGAAATAAGTCAAAAGCTAATCAGAACTCTGGAAGCCCTGATTAGAGTTCTGCCTACCTTGTGTTTGTTTATATATGTATAAGAAGTGGTTTGCAACTCATCTGTTGGTTAATCTGTTGCACCAACAGTTGAAAAGTAGAAATTATCCCAGTCTTAAACCAAACATTCAAAAACATGACACAACTCTCACCTGACATCAGTTGGACATCTAAATGTGGGCCGTGTAGTAGGAGATGGCTATGCCACTGGAGGACCCCAGACAGTGTGACACTTGCTTAGAACTGGCTCAGTGTTGTGAACACAGAGTTGGAATAAGCTGTACTTGTTTTTATTTTTTAGTCAACGCAATGATAGCATGTGCAGAGTCCACTGTGCGTCAGAGCTCTCCAGCTCCTCACCAAAGACTCAAGTCTTTTGTGAGGTCTCCCTCACTGGGCCCACTGTAGGAAGCACACAGATTTTTCAAAAGTGGCAACAGGCAAGGTTGTGATTTCCAACCTCCCTGAACCCAAGGCATGGAATATTACAGAAGCAAATATGAACGTCATGAAATCATTCTCCAGGACATTTGTAAAGTGCACCTATGTTAGCCACTGTTACTGCCTGGAGGAAAAAAATATTTTCATTCACTCAAAGCATTTAAAAAATCTTTGCATAGTAAAAGGCAGTGGAATAGAAACTAGGAGTAATGAGGTTTGCCCTAAATGTCAGCTTCTTGAAAGAAACCAACTACTTCTCTTTGGGTTTTATTGTCTCTTCCTTGACCTGGGGCTCTTATTCTAGGTTTCCTCCAAGTGGCCAGCTTAGAACTCTAGGCCCTTAGAAAAATGTAAGGTCAGAGCGACCTGGGCTGCGCTTTGGCAGAACATGGGGAGCAAGTCAGAGTGAAGAAGGAAGGAAGATCCCCGGGTCGAGCAGCTTCCCCTCCCACCCTTCCGTGTGAGGAGGACATTAGAGCTGCAGAAGCTGGTGGTTTACTGGAGTTGAGCTGGGGAAAGCCAGAAGTAGAAGTCAGCAGAGTCCAGCTGCAGGCGCAGCCATCTGCCCACGGCATTTTCCTGACTCTTGGAGCAAAATAATGGAAAGAAAGCAGAGTTTCCTGTAAGAGGAGGAAGGGGGAAGAGGGAAGGGAAGGAACCAAGAATGAAGCTGCCTTCGGTGGGCGCTCCAAGGAGCCCCTCAGGAGGGCATATTCACCGTGTGCTATAAGCATGGCCTGATAAGTGTAGAGAAAAAGCCACAGGAGGGAGGAAGCTGTGTGCTTTCCTGTCCTGAGGACTTCCTGTGGCCTCTCACACTCACAGAACAGAGCTGTGGCAGGGAGTGTGCATTCCAACGTGGCTTTCTTTTCCACCCTTACTCTGCCATTCCTTCCCACAGCTGCTACTCTTACAAACAATGTCTAAGTGTTACGCTGGGACCCTGCAGTCCTCATGTCCTGCCGCTTGCTTCTGTAGGGACTCCTGATTGGCGACGCCCAATGGATTGTACTCAGCTACTCTCCTTATGATTGAGGTCAGCTATTGTTCTCTGGATAATAACATACATTTCACTTATAAACTAAAATAGTTTTACTTGTTTGCATGTAAATGTTTTTTTTTTTTTTTTTGCCTTTTAGGGAAGGTCTACCAGGTGTTCAGCGTCTCACTACTAGATCAGACTCATAGTGATCCGCCTGTTTACAGCCTCCCAAGAGCTGAGATTACAGGCGCATGCCACCACACCCAGTGGTGTCTCAATTGCTGTCTCAGCACACCCCAGGGGCTGGGCCAGCACAGCAAGCCCCGGGATCGAACCCTCGGTCCCTGTGCCTGCTTGCAGACGCTTTAATCTGCTGAGCTATTTGGCCGGCCCTTGCATGTAAATGTCTTAAGAGAATACAAAACCTAAGTGAACTATTTGTATAATATAAAGCAGAAAAATAAAATTGCTGAGACAACAACCTTATAAACAAAACTATGACTAGTTGAGTACTTGGGGTGCAAATATTTTACATCCATATTCTTGAATTGTTTCTAAATATTTAAGACTATCAAATGAGCTTTTCCCTGTTAATTGCATAGTCTTTGTAATTAGCATTAAACATTAATGATAATTGTAGTGTGATCCAAATGCTTGAAGTCGCCATGAAATGCCTATAAACTAATGGGTACAAAGGTAGTGCAGGTTCTGGTAAACCTTTCCCACTTAGCAAACACACGCAATACATTCCTTAGTGTAGTCTAGTATTTAATATTAAGTTGGATCCCTAAGAAAACAGTTAAGATTGATAAGCTTATAATGCACAAATGGGAGAATAAGAAACCTTAAAATGAATAGGTATACTTTAAATTCGTCCTTTCATGTTCTTAAGTTTTTGCTATTGATTAGGACTGCACGCGTTAGTTCCTTCCGCTGCACGGCTCAGAGTCCTCAGCAGGAACTGCGACTCTCGTGGTTTTCATACTTACGTGGCTTCCGGAGTGCACGTACTGGATGCCGAGCGTGGCCATGGCCTTCACAATGGCGAGGATGGACTGCAGGGTGTTGCTGTAGACCACCGCTTTGAACTCCAAGCACTCCTGCTCGCTGTAACCGTTCTTGTGGATGATTCTGCAATTTGAGCATGAACAACTTTTGCAAGTTGAAGAATCAGTGGTAATGCGGAAGCCTGTTAACAATAAACTACTGGAGCGCGGTTGCCCTGTCTTCACTAGAAAGGAAAAATTTCGACCCTAAGTGGTTGTTAGGTCAGAACAATTTCATGTTCTTTGTTTTTATTCTCTTTGCCTTGTAATGCAATATTTTCATTCCAGGAAGTTATTCATACTAGATTTGAAGATTTAGGATTTATTCAGGATTAAAACCTGTTTTTCCTATTTCTCTCTCTCTCTCTCTCTCTCTCTCTCTCTCTCTCTCTCTCTCTCTCTCTCTCAAAGCTGGGTAAATAATGAAGATTTTGCTTAGGACACGCATTCCTCTCACAAGGGAAAATTACCAGGTTTCTAAGCAAAGGTGCACACAGAGGTCTGAACCTCGGCAGCGTGTTTACAACACGATCTGGAGAGGAAGTGGAGGCGCTGAGTGGCATCGCCCGCTTTTCCTATCACTTAAGACGAGCTGGGAAATAGGAGCGCCTGCTCTGCTTACAGCGCTAGCAAGGACACTTTTCCTGGGGCGGGTCATTGCCCCGGCTGCCGCGCCCTCGCCCATCCCTGTCCTCCTCCGTCTGCCTTCTGCCTTCGTGCCCAGCGCCTCGCGGGTGCTCCCGCCGAGCCCTCTTCCTTCCTCCGACCGAGTCAGCGTGGCGCTGCCCCGAGGGTTTGGGAGCCGGAGCGCCGCAGCTTCTCCTGCCCAGAGCCGGAGCCGGCGTGCCCCCGCGCTGCTCGCCTTCTTTGCATTGCATATCTTTGTGCCTGTCCTTTATTTTTATTTGCTTTTGTGGCCCTGGACAGACCGGTCCTTCTGAGTACTGAGGTACAGGCAGCATTTTTGCATGTGTATGTTCATGCTCTTCCATGTGTTAAATTTTTCTTGAAATTTTTCAGAAGAATATTTAGGTTGTCAGTGAAAATTTTTCAGTTTATGGTATATTTTGAAAATATACTTCTAACACTTTGCTTTAATATGTAATTTTACCAAGAATGACGAAATATAATCATTTCTTCATACCTCACCCTTACCGGTTTATTTTGTGATTATTGTTTGTTAATTTACTAGGCTGAAAATTTTTCGTTTTAAGTATGTTTCGATTTTTTATCTGAGAATGAGAGAAGGTGAGCTAAACTATCTATCTTCCGTTAAGACCGAGCTTTGTGGTCTGTCTGTCCGGCTCCTCATTCCAGCGTTCGGAGCAGCCTACAGCTGTAGCCACCGGTCGAGGCCTTCGGAGAGCAGCGGCCATCGATGTGCCCATCACATTTATTGTGGGATCCTGACACCCTCCTAGTTTTGCTCTTTTGACTTTTAGCTATAGTTATGACTTAATATATTTAAAAGTTCGTATTTTTATAAGCAAATATTGGACACTAAAATAAAAAAAGTACTTAAGCTCAAAAAACAGAAAGAGTGGAACAGACAGGTTTAAAGGTAAGGATGGCCTCAGGAGGAGAGCTGCAGAGCCCAGCTGAGCGTCACGGTGTCACGAGTGGGTGGGCGGGGACCCAGTCCAGGGTGGACCCGACGCCCTCGGTGGTTCTGGCGGGGGCGGGTGGGGCGCACGCTCCTTCCCAGAGGCCTGGACCGCAAGCGCGCGCTGCAGCTGAGCTGGTGCGGGCGCGGGGGACTGCGGCTTAAACGCTGTGGATCTGTAATCTATGTGAAAGCGGAACACAGAGGTCACGGCAGCGCTGCTGTCGCTAGGCAGGCTCACCGCTGAGCGCATCGTCCCCTGCCATACGTGAAAGAACAAGAGGCTTTAATACGTAATTGAAAAGTAGCCTCAAAAATGACTCCTCCTCCTTTTGTAGCAACGACGGCCCCCTAAAATTCATGAAGTGAGACCCATGAGGTTTCACCATTCACTTCTTACTAACTTCACTTTATTCATTACACATTGCATTTTTTTAATTTATGGAAGTTTTGTGTTCAATCTACCTAGTAAGACATGACTTACTTATTTAATTGTAAAGAAAACAGTAGGGAAAATAAATGCAAAGAATACATTCAAATCCATAGTGATAATTTTGAATATGCATTTCATTTCCAAACTGGCATACTGACTAGAAGTTAAAATGTTATTTTATATTCATACATAATGAAGCTTTTTTAGCGGCTCGATGTATAGCTCGATCCTGAAGATTTCCTGCTACCCACGGGCAAGGTGAGCGCAGAACTCGGTCAGACACGAAAGCCTCCGTTGGCTCAGGGGGACCCTCACCGTGCGACGGCTGATCGTGTGCACGAGTCACATAGCAGCAAGGTGGAGCAAGGAGAGGGCCGAGGAAAGGGGGACAGAGGAGGAAGGTGGTGTGGGGGATGGTGGGGCTGGGCTAGGGTGGGGAAGGGCAAGGCCGGGAGATGCTGTAATGCAAGCACGTGGGGAGAAAATGCGGAACTGGTCTTTTCCTAAAAATAATTTCTATCTCTGCTGAATGACAAGATTCAAAATTATGAAATCAGATGACCAGCACCTCGTGAACAGCTACTTCTAGAAAAAAAATATGCTGGGGCAAACACATTTTGCAAATGGATATTTAAAGTATTTTCTTTTGTGCCATTACAGCTGAAAAATTAAGTATACTAAATTATTCAGCTAATAATTTAGTTTTCTGATCATCTTAACCTAATAACTTGGAAATAACTTCCTGACTGATTTAAGAATCTCCACAACCTTAATACAAGTTATTTTTAAAAAAATTACATATTGCTTCTGTGATAAGATTTAGAAAGCTATTGTAGAAGGAATATAGACATAGAAATATAGATGTTGTAAATGATATAGATGATGAAATACAGATCGAGAGAGGGATAGGGATGGAGATAGGGACAGGGACTGAGAAAGGG